TACCTTCAGGCCATCACAAAGCCACCCTCCACCTGCCCCTTAGCTTCCCCACTTGAGCTCCTCAGTGCCCAGAGTCCAAAGAGGGCCCAGGTGGCAGGCTCTGGCATGTCAACAGTGCTCCGAACATGCACACACACAGCAAGACTCTGACAGTACCCAGGTTTAGCACCATCCCTGCTCTGAGATCTGAACAGGTGCCTTTGAGAGGCCAGGCTGCAGGAGCTTTGTACCCATCAATCAATTGCTCCCCATTTTCCTGCTTCACTATGATTACTAGAATTAACAATAATGTATTGCATATTTCAAAACAGTTAGGAGAGGGGCTTTTGAATGTCCTCATCAAAAAGACATCATAAATGTTTAAGGTGATAGATATGCTAATTATCTTGATTTAATCATTAAACAATGTAGATAGATATATATTGAAATATGTCATACCACATATATATGTATAAATTATTATATGTCAATCATAAAAAGAGGAAAACCTAAATAAACTTCATATGCATTGAATCATGTTAATAAAGTTGTTCCAAAGAGGATACTGGTAAAAAATTTGGATACTGCTATATATACATTCTAGAATCACATAATTGTGTAAATATGATCACTAACAGTGGGAGCTAGATTTCTCACTATTGGAGAGATAACAGAGAAACAAAGGAAGAAGCTAGAATGATTCATGTGATAATGTATTGGAGTTGGACATCAGTATGAGCTTTTCGTTAGCTAAATAGGGCTATAGGTTATTGTATATAGAAGTATTTAAAAATATGTGTATATACATGACAGTATACACACATATATTTCCTTCCTCTGTTAACTGAGAGGGTCTGGAAGCAATAATATTCCAGTTTCAATGAGCACACATAGCACTTAGATCTTTATTTCATATTCTCTGATAAATAAAACCAAAGCTTCCTGAAGAATGAGCTGATTCTAGTACTCAGATGAGAATTATAACAATCTGCCTGTAGTCACAGAAATTAATGAAGATGCCCCCAAACCCCCCAAAGTAAACACAATTATGGTGCTATGCCATAATTATGTTTACTTTAGGGGGGTGGGGGGGCATCCCCATATGCCAAAAGGGACACAAGCCAATAGAAAGAGCTTCCAGTTGGCAAAACTTGAACAACAAAATTTAATATTACATATAATCCAAAGTGTAAACTAAATATTCATGAGTTCATATTGATAAAAATAAATGAATAAATAAATGTGCAACAATAATCAAATCTCTCACACAGAAGAATTCTAAATAATTTATGTTGGTTATTCTGTCCTCATGAATCTTGTAAGCCACTCCCCATTCCTTGAGTGTAAACTGTGCGCTGTGACTTACTTCCAAAGGATTAAGTATGAAAAGGAAAAGCAAAAATATGGAGAAACTTAAAAACTACATCAGCCAGGTGATCATAGCTTACATGAACAATAATAAGCCATGCTGATAGTATACACCCTTGACATGCTATGATGAAAATAGCTATTCATAATAAAGACACCAGAAAAATTCCAATGAGGGACTTTCTAGAAAATGTTGGACCAATACTCTTTAAAATTGTCAAGCTCATTAAAACCAAGGGAAGTCTAAAAAACTCTCATAGTCAAGAAAACATGACTAATAATGTAATGTGTTATCCTGGATAGGATCCTGAAACAACAACAAAAAAAATTAAGTAAACAAAGAAAAAATGAATAAAATATAAATTTTGATGCTAATTTATCAATAATGTTTATTAATTTTAACAAATATATTACAGGTTTTAATAATGGCTGAAATTAGGTGTAATCTATAAGAAACTCTGGGCCAGGCACAGTGGCTCACACCTGTAATCCCAGCACTTTGGGAAGCCAAGGCAGGCGGATCACGAGGTCAAGAGATCAAGACCATCCAGGCCAATATGGTGAAATCCCGTCTCTACTAAAAAATACAAAAAAATTAGCCGGACATGGTAGCGCGTGCCTGTAGTCCCAGCTACTCAGGAGGCTGAGGCAGGAGAATTGCTTGAACCTGGGAGGTGGAGGTTGCAGCGAGCCAAGATTGCACCACTGCACTCCAGCCTGGCACCTGGTGACAGAGTGAGACTCTGTCTCAAAAAAAAAAAAAAAAAAAAAAAAAGGAAATCTGTGCCATCTTCAGACATTTTCTGTGTCTAAAACTGCCCTAAAAGAAAAAGTTTATATGAAAATGAAAACATTATTTTCGATATACCTGTAGAGACAACCAAAACAAATACCAAAAAAAAAAAAAAAAAAAAAAAAAAACCAATACCCTTAAACAAATTTCTGTTAAATCTGGAAATATTGGTCATATATGACCTAAACATTTACCTGGAGAAGTTACTATAACAGCTTAGTAAACTGGTACAGTGGAAGTAAGAAATTAGTAAACATGGAAGCTCAAAGTAATTTACAATGAAGCCAAGAAAAGTAGACATGATCAATAAATTCAAAAGTTGTTTCTTGAACTGAGTAATGAAATAGGAAAGAGAAACATTTGGAAATTCTTCACCAGGGGATAAATGAAGATAAGTATAGTTAAAGTGATTATATAGGTTGATATAAGAATGAAACAATATATAAAATAAATCCTAAAAATTTTAGAAGCATATTGACAATTTAACTCTGCTGCTTCTTTGTGGAATTTCTGTCTGGATGATCTATCTGTCCACAACTGATGGTGGAGTGTTTTAGTTGTCTACTACTATTGTATTGCAGTTTATCTCTCCCTTTAGACTTATTAATGTTTGCTTTATATACTCGGAAGCTCTGGTGTTGGGTGCATAAATATTTACAATTCTTCTATTCCCTTGCTGAATAAACCCTTTTATCACTTTATAGTTATCTTCTTTGTTTTTTTTTTTTTTTTTTTTGGCAATCTTAGATTTGTAGTCAATATTATCTAATGTAAGTATAGGTACTCCTGCTCTTTTTTGTTAATTGGTTTTCATTTGCCTGGAATACTTTTTGTACCCCCTTACTTTTAGTTTGTGTGTGTCAACATAGGTGAAGCAAATTTCTTGAAGACACAGACTGAAAGTGAAGACAAAACATGCCAAAGATCTATGGAATATAGCAAAAGCACTACTAAGAGGAAACTTTATAGCAATAGACACTAGACCAAAGAGGTAGCAAGACTGCAAATAAACAACCTAACAATGTATTTTGAAGAACTAGAAAAGCAAGAACATACTAAACCAAAATTAGTTTTGGGAAAACAATACAGTTAAAAACAGAAATAAATGAAATTGAAACCACAATAAAACAAAACGTTGCTTATTTGAAAATAAAAACGAAATTGATAAACCTTTAGTTATACTAATAGACAAAGAAGACCCCAATAAATACAATTAGAAACAAAGAAGAGGTCTTAACTGAGACCTTAAAAATACAAAGATTCATTAGAGACTATAGTGAAAAATTATATGCCAACAAATTGGAAAATCTAGAAGACATTTATACATTTCTGGACATACACAACATACCAAGATTGAAACATGAAGAAATAGTAAACCTCAACAAATCAATAACAAGTAATGAGATTGAAGTTGAAATACAAAAGAAAAGTCTCCAATAAAGAAAAGCTCAGGACCAAATGAATTCACTGTGGAATTTTACCAAACATATAAAGAAATGATACTAATCATGCTTAAGGTTTTCAAAAAAATTGAAAAGAAGATAATACTTTCAAATTCATTCTACAAATTCAGCATTACCCTGATATCAAATCTAAACAAGGACATGGCAACAACAGCAAAAAAATATAGGCCAGTATCACCCATGAATATAGATGCAAAAAAGGAGAAAAGGAGAAAGAAAGAATAAAAAATAATTTAAAAAATGAAGAAGAGGAAGAAAGAGGGAGAGAGAACGGGGGTATTGCTTTATTGCCCAGGCTAGAATGCAGTCTAAAAATGGGTATGGCTAGATAATTGTGCTTAATAATAAAGACATGAAAAAAAATGAGGGAAGAAAATAGCAAACAAGCAGTCAACCAATATTTCATTTAAACCTGTAAATAGGTGTTATGTGGTACTGATAAGAGTGTATATTTTGTGTAAAGTGGAGAGTTCTATAAATGTTAATTAAGTTTAGTTCAAATCCTGGATATCGTTGTTAATTTTCTGTCTCATTGATCGGTCTAATATTGATGTTGAAGTCTCCCACTATTATTGTGTGGGAGACTAAGTCTCTTTGTAAGTCTTATATATCTGGGTATTCCTGTATTGGGTACGTATATATTTAGGATCATTAGCTCTTCTTGTTGCATTGATCCTTTTATCATTATGTAATGTCCTTCTTTGCATCTTATGATCTTTGTTGCTTTAAAGTCTATTTTATCAGGGGCAAAAATTGCAACTCCTGCTTTTTATTTGTTTATTTATTTTTGCTCTCCATTTGGTTGGTAAATCTTTCTCCATCCCTCTATTTTGAATCTTTGTGTATCCTTGCACATGAGATGGATCTGGATGCAACATACCGATGGGTTTTGGCTTTTTTTGCATGTCTGTGTCTTTGGATTGGGAGATTTGGTCGATTTAAATTTAGAATTATCAATAATTTATGTGAGTTTAATACTGTCATTTAATGTTAGCTGGCTGTTTTGCCCATTAATTGATGTAAATTCTTGATTATGTTAATGCTCTTTACTTTTTGGTATTTTTTAGAAAGGCTGATACCGGTTGTTCCTTTCTATGTGTAGTGGTTCTTTCAGAAGCTCTTGTAAAGCAGGCCTGTTGGTGATGAAATCTCTGAGTGCTTGCTTGTTCACAAAAGATTTTATTTTTCCTTCACGTATGAAGCTTAATTTGGCTGGATGTAAAATTCTAGGTTGAAAGTTCTTTTCTTTAAGGATGTTGAATATTTTTTTTTTTGGGGGGGGGGAGTACTTTCATTTTAATATGAGGGCATAAAATAGAATGTTAGGAAACAGTGTGGGTTTGTTTTCCCCTAAAATATATGTGATTATGGGCTAGTTTACAACTTTCCTTCTCTCACTGAAATAAAAATATATAGTTAAGGAATAGGGACAAATACATGACAGCACATGTGACATCTGACAATTTGGGCATATTCCTTGCTACTTTCTAATCTTGAGAATCACAGTTTGCTGTTTTAGAGGTATCTGAGAGGTTCCAGATAAAAAGCGATGACAACATGTTCTTAAACCTTGAGTGTGCTGGATGCCCTAAAGTAGGAGAGGAATTTATAACAGAAGCTTACAATGAAGAACCAGACATTCCGAGCCATCTGAGATCTTGCAATGAGAAGGCGCCAGGCGATAAGGAAGAGGGCAGTATTAAAGAGGTAGTGAATATTTCAGAGCCTTTTTAAGTGTTGCTTTGCTTCTGGGATCCCAGCCATATCCTCTTTCAACAAGTATTTTTTAACTCCCAAAACATAATTTTCAATGTATTCCAACCAGTTCAACTGGCGCACATCAAAGTTGAATACTCTCTGGTCTTCAGGACTCAGCTCAGACATCAGCATTTCTGTATTGTATGTGCTCCATTCCCAACTCTGGTTGACAAAATACTCCATCATGGAAACAGTTCTTAAAAGCCGATTCATGAGCTTTGTCATCCTGGGCTTCCTTCCAGTGAGCCGCAGATAGAAGTCATAGATGATGGCAGGGGCCCGGTGGCTGACCGCATTCCTGTACTGGGTTGTGAAGTTGTTGGTGGTAAAATCAGCATATGGCCTCCTGAAAGCTCTCTCAAGTGGGATTTTTTCAAAGGTTGCCAAGATTTGGAATCCCATTTTGCCCCAATTGCAGGGATTGAAGTTACCAGATGTGCAGTGGTAGACTAACGTTGACTTAGGTCTGTGAACTGCAGTATACCATCCTACAGCTAGTGTGAGATTGACAACTGTATCAACCGGAATTAAGTCTGCCACAGCCATCGGAGTAGCTTTTATGGCCCGAAGATACCCTTTCAAGCCGCAATAATGAGTCCACTAGGTCCATTTAGATTATCAACCCAACCTGGGAAAGGCTCCTGCCAAGTTGCTCCCACAATGGAGGGCCTTATGATGGCGATGTTCATGTTCTCGCTCTCTTGCTGCACCACCATTTCTCCCAAGGCCTTGGTGTAGGTGTAAGTATTGGGCCGATCACCAATCAGCTTGGGTGTGATTTCATCAATAATAGCATCGTCTAACCACTCGAGGGAATCGATGATTTTTTTTGGCTCCACAGGGCACGGATAGATAACTTCATCAATGTGCTTCAGGTTACAATTTGAAAAGGCAGTAGAGATATGTATAAAGGCTTCCAGCTTAGGCATCTGACTAGCCATAAGCAACAGCTTCTGGGTGGCAGTGCCATTAAGTTGCACAGCATGTCTGAGAGTGTCATCAAAGCGTACAGTGGCTGCACAGTGAAAGATAATGTTCGTACAGGAGAGAAGCTCCTGCATGTCCTCTTTGCTGTCCCACTCTCTTCTGGCTTGTAGGGTTTCTGCTGAGAGATCTCCTGTGAGTCTGATAGGCTTCCCTTTTTGGGTAACCTGACCTTTTTCTCTGGCTGCCCTCAGTATTTTCTCCTTCATTTCAACCCTGGTGAATCTGGCGATTATGTGCTTTGACGTTGGTCTTTTTGAGGAATATCTTTGTGGTGTTCTCTGTATTACCTGGAGTTGAATTTTGTCCTGCCTTGCGAGGTTGGGAAAGTTTTCCTGAATAATATCCTGAAGCGTATTTTCCAGCTTGGATTGATTCTCTTCGTCACATTCAGGTACACCTATCAAACATAGATTAGGTCTTTTCACATAGTCTCATATTTCTTGGAGACTTTGCTCGTTCCTTTTTATCCTTTTTTCTCTAATCTTGTCTTCTCGTTTTATTCCATTAAGTTGGTCTTTGACCTCCGATATTTTTTCTTCTGCTTGATCAATTCGGCTGTTAAAACTTGTGCATACTTCACAAAGTTCTCGTGTTGTGTTTTTCAGCTCCATTAATTCACTTATATTCCTCTCTAAATTGTGTATTCTTGTTAACATTTCATCAAACCTTTTTTCAAAGTTCTTAGTTCCTTTGCATTGGGTTAGAACAAGTTCTTTTAATTCCCAGAAGTTTCTTCTCATCCACCTTTTGAAGCCTGCTTCTGATAATGGAATACACTCGTTCTCCATCAGGCCTTGTTCCATTGCTGATGAGGAACTGTGATCCCCTGTAGAGGGAGAGGCATTCTGGTTTTAGGTATTCTCAGCATTTTTAGGCTGGTTTCTTACCTTCATTTTAGATTTATCCATCTGTGGTCTTTATAATTACCGTCTTTGTAATTGGGTTTCTGAGTGGACGTCCAACTTGTTGATTCCCAGTGCTAAAATCTGAGCAACCCACTGTGCCAGCCAAAACAGCGGCGTTAAGATTGATGGTGCTTTTCTGACTCTGCACCAAGAACTGCCACACCAAGGCAGCAGCAAAACCACCTTGCCGGCCCCAAGAGTCACGCTGGCAACCCGTGAGGCTCCTCTGCTGCGAATCTCCTGGTGTGTGAGCAACAAAATTGATCTGAAAGTTTGGCGTCCTCTCGTGCTCTGTGCTTTCACTGGGAGCTACAATCCTGAGCTGCTAGTGATCAGCCATCTTGGATCTCTCTAGCAAAAAATTTCTTAACAAAATACGAGCTAACTTAATTTGATAATACATTAAAAAGGTCATTCACCATGAAGACGTCAAATTCATCTCAGGATGCAAGGATGGTTCAACATATCCAAGTAAAAAATGTGATACACCACATTAAATGGAATTAAGAAAAACAATGATTATTTCAATAGATGCCCCAAAAGCATATGATAAACATAACTTTATGATAAAAAACCCTCATCAAAATAGGTGTAGCAGGAACATACCTGAAGATAATATAAAGAGCATACAAATAAGAATATAGGAAGTGGAGAAGTCCAATTAGCCTTGTTCACAGATGATACGATCTTATACTTAGAAAATCCTGAAGACTATACTAAAAAATTGTTAGAAATGATATACAAATACAGCAAAGTTGCAGTATACAAAATTAACATATAAAAATCAGTAGCATTTTTGTATATCAACCCTGAAATATCTGTAAATGAAATCAAGAAAGCAATTACATTTACAATAGCTGCAAGGATACAAAGTACTAAAAAATTGATCTTACCAAAGCAATGAAAGATTTATCATAGGAAAACTATAAAACTCTGATGAAAGAAATTAAAGAGGACACACACACAAAAAAGAAAAGATATTCCCTGCTCATAGATTGGAAGTATTAATATTGCTAAAATGACAGTCCTACCCAAAGTAATTTAAGGATTCAGTGCAATCCGTTTCAAAACACCAATGACATTCTTCATAAAAATAAAAAGTAGTAAGTTTATATGAAACCACAGAAGACCTCAAATAAACAAAACAATCCTAAGCAAAAAAACAAAGCTGGAGGCATCATATTATCTGACTTCAAAATTTACTACAAATTTTCATAAACAAAATAGCCTAGTACTGGTATAAAAACAGACACATAGACCAATTGAGCAGTATATAGAACCCAAATAAAAATCCAAGAATTTACAGTCATACTCATTTTCAACAAAGGCACGAAGAACATAACAATGGGGAATGAACAGTCTTTTCAATAAATGGTGGTGGGAAAACTGGATAATCATATGCAGAAGAATAAAACTAGATCCCCTATTTCTCAGCATGCACAGTAAAAAAAAAAAATCAAAACAAATTTAAAACTAAATTGAACACTTGAAAATATGAAACTACTAAAAGAAAATTTATGGAAATGCTCCAGGACATTGGTCTGGGTAAATATGTTTTGTGTGTGTATAAGCACTCAAAAACACAGGCAACCAAAGCAAAAATAGACAAATGTGATTACATGAAGCTAAAAACCTTCACAGCAAAAGAAACAATCAACAAAGTGAAAAGACAAACAATAGAATGGGAGAAAATATTTGCAAACTAGCCATCTGATAAGAGATTAATAATCAGCATATGTAAGAAGCTCAAACAGCTTAAGAGCAAAAAAATAAAATAAGCTAATTAAAAAATGAGCAAAACATCTGAACAGATAATTCTCAAAAGAAGACATAGAAATGGCTAATAGGTGTATTAAAATATTCAACATCACTAATCATCATGGAAATGCAAATCAAAACCACAATGAGATACCAGCTAAACCCAGTTAAAATGTCATTAATGAAAGACTCAGGCAATGACAGATGCTGGAGAGAATGTGGAGAAAGGATAACCTTCATACACTCTTGGTAGGAATGTAAATTAGTACAGCCGCTATGGAGAACAGTATGGAGGCTCCTCAAAACCTAAAACTAGAACTATCATATGATCCAGCAATCCTGCTACTGGGTATATATAAAAAATAAAACCAGTCTTTTGAAGAGACATCTGCACTTCTGTGTTTATTGTAGCAATATTCACAACAGCCAAGATATGGAATCAACCTGTATCAATGGATGAATGGATAGAAAAGATGTGGTATACATACACAATGGAATATTATTATTCAGTCATAAAAAGGAATGAAATCCTGTCATTTGCAGAAACATAGATGAAACTGGAGGCCCTATGTTAAATGAAATACAGCAAGCACAAGAAGTCAAATATCACATGTTCTCACTCATATGTGGTAGCTTAAATAAAGTTAGAGAGCAGCATGATGATTACCAGAAACTGGGAAGAGTGGCATAAGAGGGAGATGTAGGGAAGAAAAGAATATAAGTGTATTTATTGCCACTGAGATATAAACTGAAAATTGTAAAGATGGTCAATTTTTTTTCTTTCTTTTTTGTTTTTGAGACAGAGTTTCGCTCTTGTTACCCAGGCCGGAGTGCAATGGCACAATCTCTGCTCACCACAACCTCTGCTTCCTGGGTTTGGGCAATTCTCCTGCCTCAGCCTCCTGAGTAGAGATGGTCAATTTTCTATGTATGTTTTACCTCAGTGAAAAATAAAATTTAAAAATATATGCCATACCTCCACAAAAAAACAAAAGTTTTGGCCAGATTTTTTTTTAAAAAGTGTCAATCTACAACAAACCAATAAACAAAGATAAGGCAAAATTGCCCTCTGAAAAGATATCATATATTTATTTCATGTATTAATTCCACACTATTTTAATAGTCCAAGATAACTTTCCATTAAAAATATCACAAATGCATATATATATATATATATATATATATATATAAAATGAAATATTTTGTGACTCATTCCACCCAAAACAAAATAGCATAAAAAGTAAAAAGTATGATTTAGTTTTATGTGTGAACTTAAATGCTGTTTTAGTTCTTGTGGCTGATGTAACCAATTACCACAAATTTGTTGGTAGGATCATATTTCTTTCTGGTGGTTCTTAAAGGGACCTCATACTTTTGGTTTCCAAGCTTTTTCCACCTCCTAGAGGGTGCCTGCATTCCTTGACTCACAGCTTCCTTTCATCTTCAAAGGCAACAAGGACTAGTCAAGTCTTATATTGCATCACTCTTGAATATGCTCTTCTGTCTCACTCTTTGACATTTAAAAGATATCTGAGATTACCTTGCCCACCCATCAATAATAAAGGATAACTTCTTATATTGGATCATCTGATTAGCAATCTCAATCCCATCTGCAACCTTTATTCCCTTTTGCCATGTAACAACATATTCACAGGTTCTAGAGGTTAGGATATGGACATGTTGGTGAGCGAGGAGAGATTATTCAGCATACCATCTAGGGCACATATTATATTTAGAAAATGTGGGAAATTGTTTACATAGTGCATTGGATGAAAGTGTGAGTTCTGGAGCCAGAATTTACAGACGTTCAACCACTTACTCTAGCCATTATCTCTGCAATCTTAAGTGAAGATAGGATTTGCGACTTGCTTTATCTGTTTGGAAAATAAGAAAAACAGCTGTGTCTAAAATATAGAATTATTCAGAAGATTAAATGACTAATACATGGAAATCACTTGAAGTCTGGCACGTAGTAAGTATTCATACTCAATATTATTAGATTTTTATTTTATTTAATCTTCTCGTAAACCAATGCTAGTAAAAATATGACTTTCATTTTCCAGATAAAGAAAATGAGGCTAACAATAATTAAATAATTTAATAATTTCTACATAGTATATAAGTGGTGGAAATGGGTTTTAGAATGTAAACAATTTGACACTTTCACCTAAACTCTTAAACCTGAAGTAGAAACATTATTTTAAGGGATTAGGTTTTTACATACATTATATTATATATATATATATATATATATATATATATATATATATAATATATATATATATATACAGTTACCTAACCTCTAGGAAAAACATGTGAAACCTGAGCATAGATTTTGAGATATGACCCAATAGCTATTATGTTTTTGGCATTATTATTTTAGTAATATAACCTTAAAATTCAAGCTGGAATTATCT